AGGTAATTGAGGCCTGGAATTTAATTAACTTTCTCAAAGATCAAAACATTAGTGGTAGAGATGGGTTTGAACTTAAGCTATCTGACTCTAGAAGCTTGTGTTTTTAACTACTCTATTGATACATACTGTCTCCCAGAAGTGAAATGTTTCATGTGATTTGTTTAAGGTTGTAAATATATTTCAAACTTTAAGCATAAGTAAACTTTAAATTTTTTTTGAATTTGAATACTTTTAGAGAGATGATCCTCTATGGTTAACCTCAGTCACATTATTGATGTCAGATATACCCTGCTGGATTCATATCTTCAATTTTTACCTTTCTATGAGTTTCCTTCTAATTCTAAACAAGTTGTCCAATATTAAAAACAAACCAAACACGAAGTAGATCTTACTACCTTGCACCAGTTCCCAACATCAAAATTCTTTGACCTGTGATGTCTAACTTATTGCCTCTACTTTATCACTACCCCCATTCCTGTTAATAGTTTTAACATACCTTATGCTTAAAATAATGTTACTTTATGCTTAAAATTGTGGCATTTCTTTCCCTTGCCATTCATATCCTATCATTTTGTGTTAGCTACCTAGAAAATTCCAAATTATCTATCTGACTTTGAAGACCTTGAAGATCCAGCTCAAAAGGCACTTCCCTTGGCTAGAGGAGCTAATTGCTCTACATCTACACTCTATGGAACTTTATAAATCTTTGCTTTAGTACTTATGACATTGTGTTGGCTGTTTATTAGTCTGTCATCCCTGGCAGATCTTGAGATACTAAAGTGTAAGGATTAAGTCTTAACTGAATTAATAAGTGTTTTCATTTTTGTCTCCTCCTATTTCTCTACCATCAACACAGCACCTGCTGTAAAATTGGCATTCTAAATACGTGAATTTAAACGTCTTAAATTTTTACTCATCAATATCTTTTATAACTTACTTTGTATTTCTGTTACTACCAGCTTAGTTTAGGCCCTAATAACGTCACAACTTGTGTTTATAATACTCTGTATTCTATGACATGGAATCTATGCTCTAATCTTCCTTCCTTGATTCCATTCTTCTTAGCAAAAATTCATAAAAGACAGATACAACTTAACGTCCAACCAAATGTTTACATGACATGCTTTTCAACTCCCTTATCACCCTGGTTACCCTCCTCCAGAAGATTTTTTTGAGCCCAGTGGTAGAACTTTACATTAATCCATGTCAGTTTGGTCTAAGGTTTCAACCTGTACAAATAATTCTGAATTATAATTTGGTCATTTGTTGGGTTAGCCACAGTGCCCAGCTTTCTGTCATCTGCAAATTTGATAAGCATATCTTTATGTCATCATCTAAAAATAATGGACAAGACCAAGGACAGAACCTTATATTATTCTTCTAAGGGTCTTAATAGTTGACACCAGCCTTTAATGTCTCTGGTTATCCCTTAATATAGAGGGATTCTGTAGCTTGGAAACATAGGTCAATATATATAATGTTGTGTAGGACTTCTTTATTCTGTTTTTAGGGTTATGGACACCCTACCTTGTATTGTATATTTATAATTGATACTCACAGTTTTGCATTTAATTGTTTGATACTCATTAATTTTTTTAGAAGTAGGTTGTAATCGTCTCCTTGTTTAGTATACACAATGTTAAACATAAATGTTCAGCATTTAGTAAATATTTGTTGATTAGAATAATCTATATCATGTCTGCATTAATATTTAGCAATCTTAACCATTTCTCTTTTATCTAATGTTGCTCCATGAATTAATATAGATGTGTTTGCAGACAGGGTTTGTCTTAGGAGTTTTGTAGAGGTTTGCCCTGAAGGAATATGTGAGTGTGTTAGTTTGCATTTCAAATGCTGTTACACTTGAAGGGCGTCTCTGAAAGACAGTAGCGGCCGGCCGTATCCCACAAGGAGCTGCGTTTCTCACACCTAAAGGTTTGGATTTGCTTTGTAAAGCAAAGTGAATCTGTTAAAAACTACAGGATGAGCGCTGACAATGGAGTACTCCCTGGAACAGACAGCTGCCCGAATAGCTAGAAGCAAAGCTCTTGTTTAAACACTCTAGACTACCTGTCTCCATTCACAATAACTTAATAAATATGGAGCCAATATATCTCTGTTTGACCCCTCTGTTAAGTGATAAACTTACCTTAGGACTTAGAAGTTAATCTTTGAAAGATTTTATAACCATTTGTTCACATAGATAGAATTAGTTAAAGGATCTGTAGAAACCTTTTAAAAATCTGTTAACCTG